ATAATAGTCTTATAGTGCCTTATCACGTCGTTGAGACGCCTCAAAGCGTTTCACAGAATATACTGTAAAGTGAATTGCTAGTGTATTTTGTGGCAAACCTATGTTGTAAGGAAAATGAATGTGCTATGATAATTTTCACTGCAAGATTTTATTTGGTCAACCGGGTGTCTGGAACATGCAGAAACCCATCACCGTGCTTAAGAGTATCCAAACCAGACATAGCTCCATATACAAATAGAAAGATATTTTGCAGATTCAAGGTATAGTGTCTAGATAACTTGATGTTTTCTGAATGTGGGGACAGTTCATGCTGCCTAATTCTATCATTATTAATAAATTATGTCCAATGTGTTCTATTTTTATTGGTGTTAGCATTTCAATTATCAATTTCCCCATGTCCTCAGAATCAAAATTGATCAGCTGAAGACTATAAATAGATATTGATTTTTTTTGCTGCATTTTTATATTACCAATGATCAAAAGAAGCTTCAGAAAATATTGGCAATACTTGTTCCGCACCTCATAAGACCCATGTGTGACCAAATATTCTCCACTATGGGAACTTGTATAGTGTTTGATGCAAATTGCAAGCAGACATGCCGACATATCCATGCACAACTTTGTGAATTTTCAAGTCATGCACTGGTAGTTTGCATATTAATATGCCTCACGATGCAAATGAGGTACATGTGTATTCAAGCACGCTGAGCAGCCAGTTTCAAGTGTGCGGAGTGAAAGAAGAGATGCATCGAGGTCTGCTACAGCAAGCTGCCATTCTTCACAGCTTTTTTTCGTCTTCTGCTTAACATTCAGTTTCATCTCCTCCTCTCCCCCCTCCACCCAACCACCAACAGAGCTCCTGTCAGAGACTAGGTCAGAAGTCAGCATCTGGACTAGCAGTCCAATGGAGTCAGCTAAGATCTGAGCTCAAATCTCAAATGCATACAGAGTAGAAAGTTTTCCCAAAAAAGAGACGCACAAATAATATGTGGACAAACACAAGGTCATTGCACTCCTGTGATTAATGCCTTGCATCTATGAACAAACCAAGATCTCAGTATAGGTTGGACTTGTTATGTGCATGTGAAACCAACTCATGAAAATGTTTTATGTTCATTTATGAAGGAGTGATGTATGGAAAATGGTGTAAATTATTAAACGTGTCGCATGATATTGCTAACTATGTATGAGAGATACGCAATATCTGGGAAATGGGGCCATTTTAAACTGTTACTAAATTCTGAGGTGCCCTGGGCTGTCCGCAAACCAGCCATTAAAATTGTGAGTGTTGTTTTAATTATAATACTCCAAGTAGAGGATGGGTGAGCACAATGAAATTGATATAATAATTCATCTTTCCTTTCAATAAAAGCCTCAATTTACAAGTAAAGATTTGTAAGCTTTCTTTGTCTAAATTTGTCTAAAATAATAGCTGACTGTTCTGATCTGCATAACAGCAAGATGGCAATCACGTGTTCAAATGAAGGAGTCTGACAAATATTTATTGTGTGACGATTAAAGCTGTTCCTTTAAATGCCTGTCAGTTGGCATCAGCTTTGACACCAGCACCTCATTTGATCAGATCAAACAAGAGCTACTTTTTAAGATATACCGCAGATAAATTGCTCGTTATTTATAGTATGTTTGACTTGAACAAAAGTGAAGCCGAAATCCTAATTGATTTATTTAATTGTTTTATAATAAAAAAAATCATAACTAATAAGAATATTCTTATTAGGCTACTGGGTCTCTTATACATTAATATTTTGTTATAGCCAACGTGAATCCTAAAATTTATTTGAATTGGATATTATTCTTTTTCACAATTGTGAAATGTCCATTGGAGAAGCCAGTGACCTCAAAACTGATAGTCTTACTATTTTCACATTTTTACTATTTCCATCGCAAATAATGGAAATCTTTGAAATTTTCGGTATAAAACAATTTTACAGCGGACACCAACACAGCTACATTTTTTCATGTAACAAGCTTTTGCGATGTATTTAAAAGAACCGGAATTATCTTTAATTTAATTTAGATTTTAGATTTTTAGATACAGTTTTATATTCCCCTTCCTAATCCAGTTTTACCCCATATAACAATATTCACTCCATTTCTTATTGATTAGATTTTGCCAAGTGCTTTAAGGTGTTTATTTTTCTGTACAAGGAATTATAAATGCAAGTTATTATTGTTAAGGTAGGTATTTTTCATTGAATTCTGTTTAAAATGTACAGGATTCATTCACATGAATAATTGCCTTATATTGTTATACACTTTCCACTAAAGATAAAAGAAAATTCTCAGTAGATAATATATCTGGATAATACATCATGAATGTGAATTCTACCAAAAAGACTATTACTACTAAATCTCAAATTTATTAAATGATCCACTTCCCTTAGTTTACAAAATGTACACAAAATGCTATGAAAGCTATCATAGAGTCCTGCAGTTTAATGGATAGAGCACTCGCCTCACACGTAAAATAATTACCGGGTGGGGTAAAATGTTTCCTTAATCCACATGCCTCTATTTACCTAGCACTAAATAGGCAGTCAATTGTTCGTCGATTGGCAGATCGCTTTTCTACCATGTATAAAATAAAAGTTTCAGTGCTCTGCCTTGGGGTACAGGTGGCTAATAGCACTATCCAAATGTATGGCTGAAAAAAAAATTGCAATTAATTGGCACTGAGCAGGAGATATTTAAGAAGAGTCAGAATTGGTGTAAAGTCTACTGTGCAGAGTGCTGCAGCTCCCTTCGTGTACAGAAGATTTTGTAGAGACATTGGCATTTGCTCCAATTGTAGCTGCCATTGCATGGGGAGGATGAAAGGAAGGTTAAGATTGAAGGTCTCTCTGCATGAGACTGTATCCACAGGAGAGGATCATACAGCACAGGCCCATCACACCACTGGAATGAGAAATAAGCAAAGACCACTACCAAAATATAGATTAAATGGCGCTGTGAAAATGTTGTTAGTAAGCGCTTGGAAATTTATTTCAGAATATTGCACATCTGCATGGCAGGAAATGGTCTAGTTTTGTACTTTTCTTCAGGAAAAATAGGAAAGGAATAATATCTGGGGTCTAAAATGTGGTGATTTGCAAATAGAAACTTATGCCCCTAACACTGACCTGAGGACCTGACAGCTGGAAGTCAAATCAGTACTTTAGTGACTGATACGAATCTCTATTTGCTATTATGAATCCTGATGACAGTGCTATTATGAGTTGCTATGATGAATCCTGATGATAGTGTAGCCAGGCTGGCTAACTGGCAAGTCTTGGAGCAAGGATTCTTCTCGCTCAGCTCCCGTTTACCCCACAGGCCAAAGCCCCAACGAGATGGTCCTTGCTGGACAAACCCTGGGAAAGCTTGCCAGGCAGTGCTCTCAATGGCAAGTTCTGTGTTTTTAGCTGGTTGGTGTGAAATGCGGAATTCACTTCCACCCAAAGGTTGTAGGCACGCAGAGTGGGGGGTGCAATTGCAATATTTAAGAGGGAGGTGGATCAATATTTGGTAGTGAGGCATATCAATGGATATGGCTTAAAGGCAGGGAGAATGGTATTAAGTTGCAGATGATCCATGGTCTTATAAAATGGCTCTACCCACCCAAACAATCTACACCTGTTCCTAACTTCTCATGCGCTTATGTTCTTAACATGGTGGAGATCAATAGTTCCAACTCATGCCATGTTCAGTAATGCAACTGAATTGCATAACTAATTAATAACTGATGGCAGACATGAGGAAAATTTCCTCTGTTGTGCTTCGTAACTACAATATTAGTATTAACAACTTTTTTGCGGGGGTGGGGAGAGGGTTAACTTCAGTTTTAACATCAACTGCCTTTAGAATGCATGTAACGTGTAATAGAGGTGTTGTTGGAATGCTAGAAGTGCATGTTATTATGACAAGAAGTCATTTAATAATGAATCTGGGAATAAACTCACTGTTGGCACAAATATGATATTAAATATGATCTATCACCAGCTGAAGAATGAAAAGTTGCCTATGAACAGCTTTCTTGCAATTCAAGCAATGCACCAGGGAGCCTTTAAGCAAAAAAAATTCTCCTCTCAATTTCAATTCACAGAATCTTTGTCTTCCCTAATAATACGTTAACTTTTTTTTAACTGCAGTTTATAAAGTAAGGTTAAAGTTTAGGTTAATTTAAAAGTTACAGTAATAATTCTAAATGTCTCTTGGTTCTTTCACTGGCAGATTGCAGCAGTCTAACCTCTGAAATGTATGCAAGGCATAAGCATGAGAGGACATGTATAATTGCATCGTGGGTTATTCATAGAAAACTGGTTCAAATCATTTTAGTCTTTGAATGCCTGCAGGTCTTTGAAGTGATTGCTAATGTTTGAACTTCCCTCAGTGATTTCATTGTGTCCCTTTATCTATGATGTCCTACATAATGGTAATGTCGGATTATATTACACATTGATGTGTAGTAAATGCGATCTGCTGAAGATTGGAAATTTTAAATCTTTTTTGCTTAAGCATTCATTGGAGTCCTGTGGCTTAGTGGTTAGAGCACTCACCTCGCAAGCGAGAGGACCTGGGTTCGATTCCCAGCAGGGCAAATCATTGGGCAAGTTTCCTTACTCCACACGCCTCTGTTCACCTAGCAGTAAGTAGGAACCTGGTTGTTAGTCGATTGGTGGATCGCCTTTCCGGGGATAATACTCCCTTCAAAAAAATAATAATAATAATTTGGTCACTCAATCCACAACTGTTTGTGGGACATTGTTGTGCGCAATTAGCTGCCACATTTCGCCCACAAAATATACACTCCACTTTACAATATATTCTGTGAAGCTCTTTGAGACATCTCAATGATGTGATAAGGCACTATACCAAATGCAAGAATGATTATTATTATTATTATGATTATTAATATTACTTTGTGGTTATCCTTTCGTGTAGTGTATATTCTGTAGCAATTTTTTGTTTTAATGACTTCTGTTCATCTGTATGTTTGACAGGATATAGTGACAAATGTTTCCCCAAGAATTGTGCGTGGAATGACTTCCGGTCCTACCTATGGTCCTGGGCAAAGTTCTTTCCTTAACATTGAACTCATCAGTGAGAAGACATGTGCATACTGGTGCAAAGGCATTACTGAGTTAAAGGCTGATTTTCCCAAAAATGTGAGTACCATAAACAACTGTTACAGTTGTAGTTTCCTACTTCTCTGCAATTATCAAATGTCACCTCTACTGTGTATGAATTGAAGTGGTGCTTGTCTATGGATGATCACGTTGAATAATGAAATATAGCCATCATCTCTGCCATGGTTGTTCTGCAACTTTGTGCAACAGCAACCTGAGATGGCTCTCCCTTCCAATCTTCTTTGTCTTTCTCGATAAAAATGTGTAGTCTTGGCTTAGCCCCTTACTAACCTAACATTGGATACATGTAGAACAAGGAATCACAGAAGTTAACTTGCTCCTGTTCCTCAGTGGTGCCGTTTGTCACTGTTCCACTGTACTGCACCCCAGGAATTGACTTTGAATAGTGCATTGTGCTTTTACAATATTGTTAGGATTACAGTGCCTGATTATTTGTCCTGTGTGTTTTTCTATCTTTCTTACACTTATACAGACCTCCCTTGGTACCCAATAATATCTGCACTGAGGAAAGGGATAGGCAGTTTGCTTTTCCTAAGCCTCTAGCCAGTTGCTGGCTTTGTAGCCAACTGCTGCCAGTGTCTTTTTTCTCTCCCCCAAACCTTGCACTCTCTGGAAATACATAATGCTTCTCCCAAGGAGAGAGTGTAAGCCACAGGGAAGCTTCCATGTATAGGTAGTATACATATGTGGAACTCAGACTGGGTTGGATGCCCTTAGTAATGGATTTCCGCATGTGTAAGATACCCAGTAATCAATCACGCTTTTCCCCATTTACTTTGGGTACCTTGGTTTGTTTCTTGTTAACAGTGACGTGATCTCTTTCAGTGGAAAAGTTACATTGTGAGGTTTGCCACAAAATGGATGGCTGTGAGGAACTCTTTCTCCGAATAATATTCTTGTTTTTAAAGGAATGTGAATGCGCTTTTCAGAAAATGAATTATCCAATGAATGAAAAGAATAAAAGATCATGAACCAATTTTGTTGTTTTATGCAACATTTATGGAAATCACCATGCTGCTTTATCACCCATGGTTTATTTTTCTGCTGATGCTATTTATTTTACTGCTCCTGCGAAAACCTGCTTTTAATTCTGTGCATGTACGCTTTGCTGTGTGAATCTCAGCCAACACCTATTGAATACAATTGCTTCCTTGTACCTCAGCAGAATATGATTAAACAACATAGTGCCCGTCCTACTAATATTCTCTCATTTCCTGTCCTCAGTCAAGTCTTTTATGATTTTTTTTCTCTCTTGTTGTTTGCCTTTATCCCTTTTGAACTGTCATTATCTCTTATTGCTTTCCTTTCCTCTCCTCTGCCTGCCTGCCCTCTCTTACCTTTCATATACTGGAAGAGTATCCCACAGCAGAGCTAATTTCGTCTGCCTTAGCTCTTTGTCTCTAATGTGGTCCCATCCTAATTTTTTTCTTGACATCTTTACTACGTCCCTCGGTCTCCCTGTGCAGTGGCCATGGGCAATCTAAGCACTTGAGAACAGATAACTCCCCAATGATAATGCAATGCTTTTATCAGCCCACGGAATAGTCTGTTTTACCAGTAATTTGTGAAAAAACACCAAGCATTTGTTTAAAATTTATCAGTTTAAACCTATTTTATGAATACATAGGTGTACTTGCTAGAAATAAGATCCATAATTTAAGTTCAGTTCATTTCTTTACTCGCTCATATATTTTTTCAAAAATCACTGAAAAGGACAAATGTCTATGATTTCCCCGCTCCAAATTATTGTTTTTTGATATTCTTTGGCACTTGGAGATAATATCATCCATCAATTGATATGACTGCCATAAAAATAGAACAGTTCCAGGAAAGATACATGAAGAAAAGAATCTGAATAAACCTTTGTCACAAAGGCGGAACTTCAGCTACCTAAAATTTCAACCACTGAATATAGGCAAAACGTACCTTCTGGACAGGGATGCCTAAACCATCATATGATTGCTCCATTATAGGAGGTCCTTTCAATTCCCTGCCAGATTCCAACGAGAACGATTCCTTTCTTTGAGATGCCAGAAACATGACTTCTAATAATGTACAGTGATAAACAAATTAATAAACACGGGTGACAATTTGAAAATAAAGTTATTTGCGTGAAAGCTACACTAATTGTGCTATAATAATAATAACCTTCCATTTGATATAGAGCCCCATTGCATCTTTGAGACACTTGAAAGCGTTTCACGGAACATACTGTAATAAGTATATATTTATTTTAACTCAAAGCATTCATGCATCATGTGTTAACCTCTACAAGTTTGCTTAATAACTTAAAAGCTAGGTTTGTAAATCAAAGGATATTAACATCCAAACATAACATCCTAAATGAAGGTAATTTGGTATTCGTAAATTCATAGCAATCTGTTAGCAACCACCAACTTCTAAGTTGACTTATGCTACATTGAAGTACTGCATATTGTGGCATTTATTGAACCAAAGGAAAAGCTGGTGGGGAGAAAGGGAGTTAAATTAGTCTGTCTGTCTTTTGGGGATCAAAGGGATCATTTTATCAGGTGAGAAATGGAATTGACTATTTTTTCATTCTTCAACCAGTAAAGGGATCTTCATGGTTCAAAAGCTAGTGTAAGTCGAAAACAAGTGAGCTGTTTGATATCTCTCTCAGGGCCAGAATGGAGTGAGTGTATCCACACACGTGTCTGATCCTCATAATTGCAAAAATGTTCTTGACTGAAATTGTGTGCTTCTGGTTTTAAAATAGACTTCTGTGGTTAGCCAGTTATCCTGTTGCCTGGTTTAATAAAAGAAGTTATGAGTCCCAGAGGGTGCATTTTTTTGGCCAGGGTTATCTATTTGTGCGTGGTTTCAATGTGCCTCCACCCTAACCCAGTAAGACAATTCACTCAGCCCCGTATCATTGTTCTTGGTTTCTTTTCCTGTTATTGCAGTGATATAAATAAAATATGCCTATCTGTTTTGTCAACCGTAAGCATGGTACAAATTTTGACTTGTGTCTCTCAGTATAAAACATTACGTTTTACGCAGATACTTAATTTGTTATTTTTCACTCGCTAACACGGTTTCAATCTCGATTTTACCATCCATGTCTGCTTCTGTGTTTTCAGTACTGGCAGCACATGCTTTGGTTTGGTAGATAGCTGATAACAACTTTCATCAAGTTACTACATTTTCAATTGGTGGACCTCAGATCAATTGCAAGGAACCCATTTGAAAGTGCGGTGGGATGGTACTTCTCAACACTGAATAAGTGGTGTTTGTCAGGGTATTTTTGGAACAATTGCAGTTAAACTGTAGCGTGTGTGAAAAATAAGAGCTAAGAAAACAGTGAGGTGTATATCAGCAACCTCTAGCCACAATAGTATTATAGCTACTCCACAGTGCTTCAAGATGCTATCCAGAGTGAAGAGCCCTATATAAATGCAAATTTATGTTGTATAGTCTTTGCATCATTTTAACAGAAAATTGTCATCCTATCAGTGCTAAACCTGGAGCCCAACTAGACTAGGTATTTTGAAGCATAGTTCAAAAACGTTCACTTTGAAATTCCACTGAATTCACTTTCTTATGACTCACTAAATGCCACAGGAACCATATCAAGCAGGTTCATAGAATCCTAAAATTATATAGCACAGAAAGAGGTCATTTGGTCCATCGTGTCTGTGTCGGCTCTTTGAAAAGAGCTATCCATATCAATCCCACTCCTCCGCTCTCCCTATAGCCCTGCAAACTTGTCTTCTCCAAATAATTATCTAATTATCTTCTGTAGGTTATCTACAGTAGAGCATTCATTAGCCAACAAAATGGCCTTAAAATGCCAGCTTTGCGGCACACTGATCTGAAGCTAAAAAGAGCACCATGGCATGTGCAGGACTCTGCTGACACCCAACAGACTGACTGGGGAGATTTTTAATGTTAACAAAAGTCAGTGGGACTGTCAGTTCTTTACGTATATTAGAAATGCGATCAAATTATTGCTGGCACAAGTCCGAAGTGGTGTGAAACTGCCTCCTTCAGGTGGTCTCGTACCACCTCCTGTTCATTCAGATTTATGCTTCTTAAACTACAGTTATGCTGCAGAGATTTTGCCAATAAATCAGAAAATTGCATCGCTCTAGTAAAATAGGACTACTGAATAAAAGGTAACATTATGTATGTATATGCATTATGTACGTGGAGTCCTGTAGCTCAGGGGTTAGAGCACTCGCTTTGCAAGCGAGAGACCTGAGTTCAATTCCAGGCAGAGGGCGAAACCTTGGGCAAGTTTCCTTACTCCACACAGAGCCTAATAATAATCCCTGCAAAACAAAAAACAATAATAAATTGGTCATTTTCAATCTACAACTGTTTGTGGGACATTGCTGAGCGCAATTCGCTGCCGCGTTCGCCCACAAATATACAGTCAATTCACTTTACAGTATATTCTGTGAAGCGTTTTGGGACGTCCTCCCGACGTGAAAGGGGCTATATCAAATGCGAGGATTATTATTATTATATATGTATATATTGTATTATTGCATATTACCAACAGAGTCCTGTAGCTCAGTGGTTAGAACACTCGCCTCGCAAGCGAGAGACCTCGGTTCGATTCCCAGCAGGGCAAAACTTTGGGCAAGTTTTCTTACTCCACACGCCTGATAATAACCCCTCAAGAAAAAAAAACAATATTAATTTGGTCACTTCAATCCACGACTGTTTGTGGGACACTGCTGTGCGCCATTGGCTGCCGCGTTTCGCCCACAAATATACAGTTAATTCACTTTACAGTATATACTGTGAAGAGTTTTGAGACATCTAGAAGATGTAAAAAGCGCTATATCAAATGCAAGGATTATTTATTATTTATCATATAGATATTGTTAGAATTAAACTGCTTAAGGATTAGAATTAACCATAATTTATGGCATGACCCATCTTCTGTTTGAGGTGACAGTGTGATAATAGCCTTGAACGTAATGCGGAAACTAAACATAGGTAGTAGGTAGGACTAGACTATCAAAGCTAGTGATCCTTTTGAGATATGT